TATCCATATACTAAAATATATTAAAATTGGTTGATTAGTTTTAACATGAAAGAGCAACAAACAAACAAAAAACTGAAATTAAATTATATTTTGAGTTTATTTTGGTTTTAAATTGGTTTTAGTTTTTCAAAATGCAATTTTCTACCTAAAACGTGTGATAATCGTTGTCGTGTGCATTGTAATCATCGCAATTATGCACCCTCGAGTAGCTAATGAGTGCAGCGCGTGTGTGATTAAGAATTAATCCGGAAATCGACGGCGAGAGACGTCGCACTGGCAGCGCCGTAATTATGTCGAAAGCATGATTAATCTATCAGCGCCGACGTCGTCGCTCGCCTGCCGTAACGCATTCATTCACTCCTCAATCTCAGCATCGCTCTCTAAAACCTCAATCCATCGCTATTTCCTGGCACAAACAAACTGATATTAACATATCCAATACGCTCCAATACAGTTTGTACCCGAAACATAATTTATTTCCAATAAAATCAAAAAATTCATTTTATAAATTTAAATTTAGTAAAATTTTATTTGGAGTATATTAAAAACTTTAATTATGTTTATTATATTGTGAATAATTTTGACAAAGCCCATCTTTACATGTCAATATTTCGACAGGCAACCTAGCAGAATAATTAAGCTCGTGCGCAAGCCAATCAGTGATGATTTCAGGCTCGCAAACGACTTAATAACGACAAGCTATCGCTCGCCGCAACCAAGTCATTAACATATTCCCCGCTTTGCCATCGCGCAAATGCGTACGTGGATGTCGAATGCTTCCTGCATCCTGATGACGCTCTCACAGTGCTCATGCGAGCGCGACGCCAAAAGTGCTTCGGTTTCCGCAAAAATCACAGCGCTGCGAGGCAAAACAATGAGTGTTTATGCATGAATGTGTGAAAACTGCATGAACCTCCAGCAGACAGGAAAACCTAAAAAGTTATTACTTGTTATTTGCGGCGGTAGACGAGTCGTCGCTAACGATATTACGGCCGGCGCTGATTGCGATTTCGTCGTCACGCTGGAGTGAAGCCGGTGTAATTCGATTGCAAATTGCAAACGGATTATTCACTGATTCTGTGTTTTGTTTTGGATTAGGTTAAAAAACAACTAGCAAGAAAAAACACATAGCAACGAATTTTTTTGCGTTTTTACGTTGGATTTATTATGTGGAGGCGCCGGGCGTTTAATAAAACTCCAAAAAAAATTCAAATTATTTAATTTTGAATATTTTTATGCTTTTATCTTAAAAAGAATTAACATGAATAATTATTTTTCCTAATTTTAAAGTTTTGGAGAGCTTGGAAAGCTTGGAAAAACTCAAAAGTAAAAATTCCATTATTTTTCGCTGTGTACGTGCTTTCAGCTAGAACGGCTTCATTCCTGAATATGTCTGCAGCTTTGCATTGGTATGTTCATTTTCCATTTCGATCTGGCGCGTTCGCGATGCGTTTGTTGCATGCCAATTAGTTGGCGTTCGCTGTGTGTGCCGCCAGCCGAAATATTCAAAGCCGATTCGACGGCGCGCATCCGACGCGATCGTTTACATGCTCGCACTCTCGGCGACTCTCAATACAGTATTAATTTTCATACGTTCGGCGCGATCGCAAAGTAGCAATAACAATATGCGGTCGCATTTAATGCGATTGCGGTGGAAGCCACCAAATCGATTGCAATTAATTTCTTTTACGGATTAAATCCACAATTACACAAATTAAAACAAAAATTTTGCAAATTTTTTTGATATTTTTAGGTGTTTTTTGTGTGCAGGATGTCGTTGGTGGTGCGTTTTAGTTTCAATTAGTTATGCGTCGCACGAAGCTAATCAGATCCGCCATAAAAGCAGCGCGGCTCACTTCGCCGGAGGCGGCGAGCGGCACGACACGCCGCGTCGCGCACGCTGCCGACGACAAAGTGCCCACGTCAACGCGCACATAACAGCCGACCCCACGTGAGGACAACGTGCGATGTGTGGCGCTTGTTTCATGTTTGCTAAATTAACCGTGGCGGTCTACCAGCGGTCACAGTACACAAAATGACGCAGTGAAAATCTAGCAAGAAATTAATATGCAAATTACGAGTAAATAAACATCAAACAAAAATTTTGATTTTTTTACATTTTATTTGTGTTTTTTTGGTTTTATTTGTGTTTTTTATGTTAAGCTCATGTCGGTTCATTTAGAGGCTTTGTTAATGTTTGAGGAAACGAGCAAAGTTTACCTTTCGCCCACCTTGGACGAGCTTAATAGTCTTGGTTTAGTCCTGGTTAGCTATTGTCTTGTTTTTACAGCCGGAGATAATAAAAATAAAAATAAAACTAAAACAACAAAACACACAAGAAAAAAAAGTTTTACTTACAACAAAACTATTTCTTTGAAATAAAAAAAAAACTAAATTAATTACTCATTGATTTAATAAAATATAAAGACGAAAACAGGAAGAAAACTTTTAACTAGCTCTCAAATAAACGTAAATAATGAAAAGTAAAACTTTAAGTCGTTAAAAGTCCGCTTTTAATAAAAATTTAAATAAAACTTTTTGCGTTTTATTTCTGATTTTATCTATGAGACAATTTTTTGCGACTTTTTATGTGTTTCAATATGAAAATATTGATTGCTTTGATTTTTGTGGCGTGTTAAAAGTTTTTTGATGTTTAGTGTCAATAAATTAAGGCGTTGAACAAGAGCCACTCTTCATTTTTCACCCAGCGCGTTTTCCCATCAACACATCGCGCGCGCGCATTTTGCATATTCGAAGCGTGGAATGGATTTTATGCAGATTATGCTCTAAGTTAAATCGACTATGCGGCGCGAATAAATCACCCACTCGTCTCGCCGTCTCCGCGGAAAATCCAAAATCCTTGCAGTTTTTTAACTCCTCCACGCTCGGCGAAGCATTTGCATACGTGTGTTACAGATAGCCGGCGAGCGCATTTTGTCAGTTAATTTCGAATTTTCTGACCATGGCGGAGGCGCCGAGCGCAGCAGAAAAAAGTGCACACACTGCACAACGCGCCCGGGTTTTTGCGGCCGCTCGCGCGCGCGGTACAACATTAAACACTCCGGTGTGTTCATGTGTAACTCGACGATAAGGACGATAAGCACTTTTTTCCGCGCGTCGAGTGCGCTCGTTGACTTCGTGTGTACATACTTTATTACAGCGCATAGACAAAGTCGGGCTTCGAGCGGCGTGCTTTTCGAACCCAACCGCAGCGAGCTATTTGATGCGATTAAAAAGACCAAGAGAGGCGACTAGAGGAGAGTCTAGCTTTTAAGCTTTGCCTCATAAATTTGATATTTATTATCTACCGAAGGAGCATATTTCAAATATTTACAACTTTTTGTTAATCAAACATTTTTCCTAAATGAATTAACTTGTGTTTTTTTATCGTTTTGCATCAAATTTGTCACATGAAGAGCATTTTTCTTGTGTTTACACAGTTTACAAGGTAGTTATTAACATATTTTGCATGTTAGTTAAAGCTTTCATATTTAATTTAAGCTTTGAAGCCTAAAAACTTGCAATTAATTTGCAAAACTTTTTTTTTTAATTTGTTTTAAAATGACATTCTTTCTAATTTTAAAAACGAGCAAAATTAACATGTTTAAAAAAATTTAATTTGTTTCAAAACACTTAAAATTCTTCTTGTGACGTCACTGTTGAGTTCACTAAATAAAACATTTTACGCTTATTAAAGTTAATCCTTAAAAATAAAAATTTATTGAATTTTTTCATAAAATAATAATAAATTTTTGTTATGTATTTTATAACTCAAATTTTGTTAAATTTGGTATTATTTTAGTATTATTTTTATTTTTATCCTTCATACTTGTATCCTATCCACTAAAAAGTATATTAAATAATAACAAACGTTATTGTATTATAAAATTGACTAAAATATTGATATTAAATTAACAACTTATTAATATTATTAATCAATGAAATTGCATGTCGCTGCATTCAATCGATAGCGTTGTTATTATTAGTACGTGAATAAATTGAATTTGCAGCGCGCAATGTGCGCGGGCCGAGATTGCGCCCCCATGCACACGTAAATATATCGATAATTAAATATGTGCGCTTTTGATTTAATCGCACCGTGATGAGCGACTGCCAACGCGCAACTATTTGCATAGCGCTGCGATTTTTGCGCAAAATCGAATGCGAATAATGACACACGCATAATCGAATGAAAATTGATATGGAATATTGTAGCTGATAAAATTCAACGCTCAAACTAATACGGGAGTGTGAGAACAAGCAACAATTGGAAATACACATTTGTTTTGATGTACTGGTATGATAAATGATAAATAACACCGAGTTAGTTTTTATTTACGTATAAATATTTAATTTATAATGTTGCCCGGCGCCTCCACTGTATGTGTTTAGATGTTTTTGTTTCAGTAAGCAATTTCCTAGTGAATTGGCCGTTAATTGCGTTGACATTTGAACATTTTTTCGCCCCTGCGCTTTTATCGAACGTTCACACTAGATTAGTACGCGCCCTGTACCCCTGTCACCCTTTACCACCCGCTGTGAATGGACGTATACATATTTTTATTGGGTGCTTGGCGCGCGATGCCTTATCAGAAAATTACCGAACGTAATACGCAAACGATGCCCGATGCATATTTTCTTTCTTTTGAGCTTGCAAACGTGTAAAACGCTACTTCTTTGTTAGGTATTCCCAGCGAGCTTTCATCCACAGATGCACATTCGAATATGCAACAATGTGCAGCGAATATTAGCGTTTTAATGAAAACAATAAACAAACCGGTAAAACGCTCATTTAATGAAAATTGCTGTTGATTTTATTAAAACTTTAATGCACATTTTAATGCAAATTATTTTAGTGCCAAGAACATAAACAGATAAACGCAATTTGTTTTTGTTATAAATTAAATTAATACCAAAATAAATTTAATTAAATTTGTTTTATCCAAATATAAAAACTGATATGCGAGTTAAATATTTAAATTAATTGGTATATTATTTACCATAGAGAAAGAATGTGGCCAGTAGGAGGACGCATGTTGTCGAGCGCATGTTGCCGGCGATTTTCGGCGAATCAAACCGTCAGCAAAAGTTGTGTCAACACATGTTACAGTTTGTCACCCACTCGTGTCTGAATGTCACACTCCTAAACCGCACTGAGCTCAAAACTTCTTACCACCCGTTTGGAAAACGTAAAAATAATCGTATCAAATGTCCATTTTCGTAAAAATATGCCAAAAAAGTTGCTTCACATTTTTATCGATTTGAAAATTTACATAAAATAAACGAAAATAATTTCCGGATCATTTTCTTCATGAATTTTTATTTTTTGCGTGTGGAAATTTAATTTGTGGTTTGATTCGCGTGTTTGCACGCTGTGATTTCACAAAGTCGTCGCCGGTTGTAGCGCGTGCGGCGTACGAGCGCAAACTGAGCTTGAAGGCTCAAAGCGCCGAGTGTTTGGCGGCAGGGCATCGCGCTCTCTTGGTATTACGCGTGAACAACAGCGGCGGGGGCGGCAGACGCGCAAGCTGAAGACGCTCGCTGTTCATTGGTCGTCGGCCCGCACCTCGGCCAATCCCATATCTTCAATTCGATGCGCAGATTTAATCTTTTCGCTGGTCTTCGCTACTTTTCTCACAAATTCTCTTCTTTTTTGTTACATCTAAGAACATTTTATATTTAAAATAAAATAATTACCTAATTCAATGTGTTGTATATTTTGTTTTGTATTGATTAAGTTGCGATTAACGACCGCGATTGAATTTTCCACTTTTCTGCTCGCTTTGCATGCGATTCGATTTTCATTAACCAGACGCGCTAGAAATGGAAAACCGAATGGCGAGACCGATGGCAAAGTCTAAGGGATTATTAATGGCGCTCATTTCCTTTCATCCTTTTCGGGTGGCTCCCTTAAAACGCAATTTTTAACCACACGAAACACGCTGCGGCACTGGCGGTTAATTGTGGCGGATGGGCAGATGGCTATCTTCCGAAACGCATTTTCATTTTCATTTTCGCTTAACACTATACTCGCGCGCGCCTTGGCCGAGCCGCATGCAGTGAAAATGTAATTTTTCATTAATAATAATCAACAGCAGGCTTGCGGCTGGTTAAAATTCATTGCGCTTTAGATTTTAATTAATTGATAATAAATAATATTTATTTTAATCACAGCTGGCGCTCACATCATTACCGTGGGCGCAGGGCAGATAAATAAATGTATTTACATGTGCGAGGGCGTTCAATTGGGTTTAATCAAATGTAGAACGTAAAACAACAATAGAAAAAGTGTCATCATTCTAAATTTGGAAAATTTAAGCCTATCGTTTGTGCCGAACGAGTGCGATTACGAGTATTTCGATACACAGCGTCGTAAAACGGCGAAAACTCGTTGGCAAAAGGTTGAGAGGATCCAAATCGCGGCGCGACTATTGCCAACGCATCGTATCGCAGATAATGCCGCAACGGGCGGAAGTCGCAGGCTGGGGGCTGGCAAAAGAGGCGGCTAATGAAAAATCGAAACCCAAACGATCGTATAACATCGTGACGACGACACAACGCTGATATCACCATGAAAAAAGAGCAAAAGTTGTAAGAAAATCAAAAAAGAAATTCAAAACTTTGCAAAATTGAAATTTTATGTTTATTTGCCTAGGCAGTAAAGTAAAAAAATTAAAAACTGCCCTAAATTTAATTTTTAATTTCAATAATTAAAAAATAACACTAAAAAACACTTTTTGAATAAATTTACAAAAACATTATTTACTGCCTAGGCATTAAATTGATTATCTTCAACATTTTATAGAAAAAATAATTATTTTAATATTTTGCAAATATTAATATTACGTTATTGATTTCAAAATTGTCACCTGAGTTGTTTGCATCTCTAGTTTGATCACTGTTTGTTAGTTTGTTAGATCATTATCAACTGTCTGTCACAAGAGCGTCGCACGACTTCTCGGTTCGTTAAACCTGACTCTGAACTCAGGTGGGGAGCAAACTGAAGACTCCATCGCGCCCTTTGCGTCTTGATATCCGAGATCAAAGCTTGTTATCTCATCGGTAAACATAAACCACCCAAGTATTTTTCTTTCTTACAATTTTTTTCTTCAATTTTTCATTTTTCATCATTACTAAAACTTTAGTAATTTAAATTGTATCCAAAGATTCAAGTTATTAGCGCGATATGCTTGAAATAATTAAAATAATCACAAACGGCATTCCGGGTGTCTTAATGTCTGCGCGAGTTAAATTCAACTTGAAACTTGAAATCTAATTAAAGAAAGTATTCAAAGTATTCTCAAATTATATACGAGTACGAGTTTTATTAATCTAGTGGTTAAATGTTGTCATAACTAATATTTAGTTTAAATTTCCAGAGTTTTAAAAAAATATGTTTTTGTCTATTTAGATAGCTTCAGAGGTTTGCGCTGCCGACGAAGACTGAATTTTATTATTCCAGTCTGTCGCGCAGTAAATTTCCTCGGTGCAAAAGCGAAGAAAAGTCATCGCCTTCGTGCTGGCCCTTCTTGCCGGGTTCATTTTTACGTTCATTGGTACGTGGCGCGCGAAAAGCTGCGATAGTGAGTGCGAAGTTTTAAAATCGCGGCGTCGACTTTATGGAGAGAAAAATTTCAACGTGTCTTTATTGGCGAGCGCTGCGACGCTGAACACCGCCACCACTGCCGCCACCGCCGCCACAGTTCCTATTGCCCCTTGTTGGCGCGACCGGAAATTAAGCATCTTCTGCTCGATATTTCTCATTAAACCGCTTTCCTGTTACGCAAATAATATTAACGACGAAAATAAAATCAGAAAAATATATTTTTGATATTTTGAGCAAATTTTTAAGAGTAGTGTTAAGTTGAATTTGGAGTTGGAAGGCTATTAAAACAGTTTATCGACGTTCGACATAAATCGGTTTATCGTCGCGGCTTATTCTTATATCATGGCAGAGATGGTTTTCGGATATAATGCGCGAGAAACGTCCGACATCTGCGGTTCGAATAAAACCCTTGGTTCTACCCTTAAACCGCCAGCCACAAACCGCACTCTGCCCAGAAACATTCAATCTTAAGATGTGCAATATTGATTTAATTTCGGAAACCAAAATTTAAGTATTTTTTTGTTATATTTTGAGGATAACTTTGATTTTTCTGTGTTTTTTTGTTTTGGTCTATTTCTTTTTGCTCTCTGCTTCTTAGAGATTTCCGACACGTAGTCTCGTGCTTGTGATCATCGTCCTTATCCTGTCGAGTTTAGCAAGCATGTCCTTGCGTCTTGGAGTTGCTGCTTATGGCCGTTTGATCTTCATGTCTTTCGGTAATCCGGTGTAATCTGGCAATAATTCGCAGCTTCTCCTCTCGGGCGGCTTCCAACACACACACATACACATCGCCGTCGTCCGGCCATCAGCTCAGTGACTATAGCAAAATACATCCACTTCCACTTCCGGTGAATGTCTGGTCTTCGTTTGTTCGTTTGCATTTGACTTTTTGGCGCTTGCTCTTCGACAGCGGATTGCGCAGATTATTTGCATCTGCAACTAATCGCTCTCTCTAGTTTTAATTACACTCCTTTAATTGTCTTCTGTGTGCTCGCACAACGGTTATCCTGCGCGCGGAAAACCGCAAAAAACTCGTCCGAAAGAAGAGAAAAAAAGCGAATTTGTTCGAATGAAAAGTTGCTCGTCCGGCATTATCGAAATGGGCATCTGGGCATCATTCGCAAACACTCGCAGACCGGTTTTTCGTCTCGTCCCGCACGTCGGATTAAGGACGAGTTGTGAGATTGGGGAAAAACTCGCCGATTGAAATATCTAATGAAATTAAATGAAATCGAGCGCATTAATGACAAAAAGGACTCAGCTGGGGTTTATTTTTGAAAGCGTCCGCCAGCACGAGGGATTAACGTATTTTTCTTGATGGTGATAAGAACGAGATTTTTATTTTCAGATTGAGTTACAAACAAAAAAAAAACAACGAAAAAAGTTGATATTTCAGTTTTCTATCGAAAAAGTTTCACGTTTCGGCTTGTATTTTGATTGAACATGATTCCACGCGGTTGGGGAAACATGCATGCTTAGTCTTTTGTGTTCGATGGTCGGCGTTGATAGCTGATTGTTACGGTTTTTTTGATCGAACAAAGATGCGCCTGATAAGCTCGTTCGCACGCCAACGTTCATCATTTCTCGACAGCGCGGCGTTTAATTTCCTCTTTCGAAGTTTGCCACGTGGCTGACTATTATTTTTATAATGCATGCACACATCCCACACCAACACAACGTTTTTTTTCAACCCGGAACACGGAACAAAATCATAACAAACCGGAAATCACTTGAATTCTTTATATATTTAAGTCGTAATTGTCTAGTTTGTCCATCAGAATATTGGCAAACATTACATGTAGTTTGATGGAAGTTGGAAGTTATTTTAGTTGTCAAACTACCTTTACGAACAGAGAGTCGCGCTGCGCGAAGCGCGTACGTGCATTGAATCCTGGCTGGCGGAAAGCTCTGGGCACGTGATTGAAGTTCGTTACCGTGAAAGCTTCCTTATTAACCCACTTCGCGTCGTCGCGCATTGCTCGCGAGTCTCTTGCTGTATGAATATAGATGCTAGTCTATTAAGTGTGCGCATCGCTTGTTTGCACAATTGTTTATTGCGCGCGAACCTTTTAAGTAAATTCACTTGTAAAACAGGTGAATGCAAAGTGGGCAATCTTTACAAACAATTACCGCGTGCAATCGAGGCAAAAGACATGTTTTTAAATAAAATAAGTCTTATTTTGTATGATTTTTTAAAGGGGAAAGATTTGACATGTCTGATGTGGATATAAAGAATGGTTTTATAACATTTGTAGCTTTTTATCGCAGTGTGGAAAGTCGCAAAGTGTAAAAGTGTATAAAACGTGCAACCATCCATTACGCGGATATCTGGCGATCTTTCATTTTCGAATTCCCTTTCCAACGGAATTATTGTCATCGATTCCCCTCAGGAGGTGGCCACCGCCGCCAAGAAGCGATGAAAAGTTGCTTGGCGACAGTGTCGCCTTTCAACACTTTCAACATAAATTACCAAGTTTGGGATTTTGGATTTATTTCACTCCGATTCATTGATTATTCAACTTTTATTAAGAATAACTTAATTTTTGGAATATTTTTTGCATTTTTACCTTTTTTACTGTATTCCAAGATAAATTTTTCTCCAAAAATAAACTTATAATGGAACTAAAAACGAAATTCACTAATTTTTCATTCAATTTTTGTAAACTTTTTGTTATTTTCCGTTGGAATTTTAATTTGCACAGAAATTCCAAAAAATCCATCACAATTACAACGTGTTTGAGTTTATTTTTTCACACGTCGCTTTCTGTCCCGTGTCAAATATTTCTCGCCGAATCGAACGCGTTTTTTTTTGTGTGAACATTT